GGATGTTGCAGTAACTGAGCTACTGTAACCAGATGGCACCAGGGCTCTATACTGCTACATAGCTTATTCTCTCAAGAACAGAGATGAAGTGGGTAACATTACTTCCACCTGTAAACCAACAAAATTTGAAGTTCAATCACTTCTCTGACTTAAGCGGTTGCGCTTATAAAAGCCTGGGCATGATAATCAACAGAATAGGAGGTTTTAACTTCCAGAGGTTTGTGAAGGAAAAGCATCTTAGAAAACTTAAAACTTCATAAAATCTTTTTCTAAAGCAGCCTTAGGATCAAAATGCAATCAGCCACAGTTTCTGTGACAATAAGTAATCTGGATACTCAATTGCATGTAATCTTCCATATTCACTCTTTCTTCTCATGCCCAAGAGGAAACGAAACAATCACTTCAACATGAACATTGGTGCAGCCATCAGACATCACTTTGTACTGGAGAAAACTAGCACAAAGGGGACGTTGTCCAATGTTGTTGTGTGAACAAATAAATCCTCAATTTCTGCCACGGCTGGGATGGTCCTCAAGAGCCACACTAGGATTACAGCAACATTGCTGACAAGTTTCCATGCATTTTTACACATTAAGGAAGAGAAAACTGAGTTCCAAGGGCAGAACAGGATACTCCATGCTGAAGTGAAAACTGCTTGTCTTCAACTACTTGTAGTCCACATCACCACCAAAGCCTAACGTTTAACTGACTTTTCTAACACAGAGGAACTTGCAGTGCCCAGTGTATGCTGGTATTCCTGTGTTGCCCTACTCTGAGCAGACAGTAGTGTGGAAATAAAGCAAGCAGTAAGCACCCTAACTTGTCCAGGAGCTTACAGAACATCCAGCCTGAAGAGTAATACTGCAATGCTTCCCAAGATGTTTATAAAACACAGTAACTTTTAATACTTCCATGCTTATGTCCATTGCTAAACTTGGTCAGATATAGCTGAATGAGAGATAAACCTAAAAGAAAGAAAAAGGGTTTCAAGTACTTCCAAAATAGATATTCTACTTAGAGGAAGGATATCCCAGCAGCTCTCCTTTCCTAGAGGCATGACCAGAATAACCTCTAAAACCAGAACAAGGCAAAAAAAAAAATCCCAGGACATCTCCAGATTTAAGAGCCATGCAACCAAAGCACTAACCCAAATGTTAAAATCACATTTAAGACCAAGCCAACACCTTTTCTAATAATTTGAGGAAACCACTAATGAAGATGATAACCTCTAGTAAACAAAACATCACATCTGCTTTGTTTGTTTGCTTTTTTAAAAAGTTAACCAGTCATAGTTACCTAAGAGATAGATATCGCTGCCTTCAGAGTTATATTATAGGTGTTCTTGCTGCTGCTATGCATGATGGTTACAACAGCTGTGCTGAACAGTAAAGCAAGCAGATTTTTTTTTTTCCCCTAAATTAGAAATATACAATTCCCAAAAGTGGGAGCAAAAGACAAAAGGTAATGAAAAATACTACTGAAGAAAGGTTTAATTAAAAAAATCAGAAATTCAACAGTGCCTAAATCTTTATTTTTCATAACCTACATATTTTTTTTTCAAATTAGACAGTTTTACATTTTATGACACAAAAGGAAACTTAAATTACTGATAGTTTACATGTAAGCTTGATTCCAGTCTTAATGGAAGAAGAACAAAAACAAAAACCCTCAAGAAGGCTCCCATATTACACTTCTATTTCGTGAATTGGCAGCTGTTAGGTCTCCTTAAAAATCTTCGATTGTCTGCTGCTATTAGTGTAACAGGTTACAAAGCACATAAAAATCCCTAACTGTAGCTAGCTGAAGGAGATACAGAGATAGGTATGCACCATTACAGTCAGCTGTTGCTCGTGATACACTGCACCACACTCAAACAAGGGCCTATGCCAACTGCTGAAGTCTTTGAAGGATATTGCAGCAACATAAAAGAATTTGCCACTGTTCACAGATTTCTAAGTGGCAAATGACAGTGTCACGGTGGGGGACTCATCTGAAATGACATTAAGTTTTAAAAGCAACCTCTGGTTTTTTTAAATTCCTGGAAGAAGAGTCTCAGATCCCATTTTGACTTGTGTTCAAAATGAAAAGCATCACCACACAGTCCTACAGGGTAAAATGCCAATTTTAATTACTGCATCCCTGAACCTAACTCAGCTACTGCTTTTGGGAGGTTTTCATTTTAAAAGCCACATTTTAATCTCTCTGTGTATCGTAGCAACAGTCTGCATGCAACTTTACAACTCTACTCCGAAAACTCCATTTTGTCACTGAGTGGAAAAAAAAGAAAAATCTCGAAGTAAAATGCAGTAAGGATAAGTTGTATATTACACAGCTATTTGGCGTGTCACTTTTTTGCTTTTTAAAAAAAAAGCTGTAAAAGCCACATCAGAGGAAGGTTTAAACTTTCGATGCAACAGACTGTTGCTGGGTAAGCAGTAATTACAGTGTATTGACCTAGCACAAATGGCAGCAGAATACATTAGAAGAGCACAACACATCCCGCTGGTCTCAATATATTATTACCTTAGGTACCAGTCGAGCATTATGACTAGCTGTACACAGTCGCTGTAAGGAACCACTTGTGATTGTTTGCAGCTGGTAAGCCTTTCACTTGCAGCAGACAAACAAAATGAATCATACAGCTGGCCTAAACCATACACAAATCTAGCTACCGTTTTCACTGCCACTGGGGAAAGGAGGAGCATATTAAAAATCCAATGACAGAACTAGTTGAGCAGTTTTGGTGATGTTGTCAGAGTCCTATCTCCTCCCACAGCATTCACAAAGTGCGCTTTTTAAACAAGGAAAAAAAAAAATCAGATTCCAGCATGCCCTATTTTGACCAATTCTGCAGCATACAACAGGCTGGATTTAAAAGGTCAACTAATTACCAATTGATGCTTGTAACAGGAAATTTATCAGGAGTCAACTTCTATAGTTCACAGTTCTATGAATCATACACTAAGGAAAGCACTGATATTCTTCAAAGCAGACAAGCTCAGTGTGTATTTTTGTAGCAGTCTAAAGTGTTTTTCCAATTAAATTTGATTTTATTAATGACTTAAAATTACAGTTTGACTGCTGAAATTCACTATTTACATTGGAGAACACTTTTGAATCAGTCAAATCATTTGTAGAGGGACTTAGGAAATTTGAGGGCTTTCAAATAAGACTTTCATTCCATTTCCCTTTTGCAGTGAAGAGGCAGAGTCAGTTCAGCACACCAGAATAAAATAAGAAAAAGAAAAAACAACAAATTAAAGTAATATTCAAACCACAACATTTAGTTTATCTACATCCAGCTCAACAGCAACATTTATAATATCAATAATTTTTATCAGATTTTTTTCTTTAGGGTACCTTTTTATATGTTCTGATTATTTACAACTGTACAAGCAAAGCACACACTTCCAAGTGCACATATTTAATACAGTATTGACTATTTGCATTTACAGGTTTTTCAACAATCTGAAAAAGATCAACTGTTTAAGATCTTTAAGGTATATTACAAAAACTGCTGCTAGTTCCTGTACTACAGTATGTTTACCCAGTAAGACCAGTGACAATAGATACATACTGTAACTGAGTAATTCTGTATTCCACTCATGCTAACCCTCCACGGGGTCAGACCTCATTAACTCTAAGCTGTCTTGTACAAAAGTTAAGGCAAAGTCATTTTCAAGTTTAAATAAAATTCAAGTCTTTAAATATTGGATGGAAATAATTCTTTAAAAAAAAAATCAGTTGTTTAAATAAACATTTTTGTGGAATAAACTGTACTGTCATAG